GGTTCAGGGTTTAGGGTAAGGGTTTAGGGTTTAGGGTTCAGGATTTAGGGTTTAGGGTTTAGGGTTTAGGGTCTAGGGTCTAGGGTCTAGATTTCAAGGCTGAGGGTTTAGGGTTTAGGGTATAAGTTCTAGAGTTTAGGGTTTATAAGCTTTTACATGTCAGAATTTAGGCATTGTGGTTCAGGGTTTCGGGGTCTCCGGCTTAAGGTCTAGAGTTTACGGGATAGAATGTTTAAAGAATGGCAGCTTGGATTGGAGGGATAGGGCTTTGACTACCATGTCGGTTTCGTATGGGGAGGGTTATGCAGGAATGAGGCTTCTCGAGATCCCTTTAGGGATCCACTCCTCCACTCCAGCTAACCTAAAGCCCTGAACCCGAAGGTCGCAAGAAAGGGCTTAGGGGTTCCAAGTTTTGGGTTGGGCTACATAAGCAAACACCGCGGTTTAGGAAGTAGGGTCTATAGAATTTTGATCCCGTGTAGTCTTCCATTCAAAATCCATCTGTCTGTTTTCTTGTTTTCTCATGGCACGCCCTCTTTCTGTCCTTGATGACTCTCATGACTGCGTTGAATGCGCAGGAATGAGAACACAAGTCGAACAGGTCCGACATCTCGGGAATTTAACAATCCAATCCCTGATTCTTATAAGCTCTGAGCCCTACCTGAACCCCTAAAGTGTGCAAAATCATTGTCTTTTAGGCTGTGTTTACAGGTTATTTTGCTACTTTGGTGGTTTAGGTGGGGATTTCGGAATCAGGGTTAAAGGTTTGGGGTAGGTCCTCAGCCGTGAAGCCCAAACCTTCAGCAAATGCCAAATCACGATCCCTAGGTCTCAAATCCTAACCCCTCAAAAACAAGCCCTGAGCCCCAAGCACTGAACCCTAAATCCCAAACCCTGAACCCCAAATCCTAAATCCTAACCCCTGGAACTCAGCCCCTAACACTGCATGAAACATGTGAAAGCGGCCTTTGGCAACATGCTGGCAAAGCCGAGGAATCGACTGACACCTGAAGTCAAAGCCCCACTATCTTTGGGGTTCTAGCAAACTCTACCTAGAGTAACTTGTGCACACCAGCAACAAGGGCCTTGTACCTAATATTTTGGAATACTTGCCTTCTTGGGCCCTATCAGGACGATGTGGGTTTGGGAACAGGTTTATCGAGGAAATTCTAGGAAAACAATTGACATAGGGGACGATGAAGATGTTCAACGTTAAGGACTTCCAAAGTTCGAGGTAACTTTCGGGGGACTGCAGAATGAGTGATCATAAGAAATACACTTCCGGTAGGCAGGCCAGGGGGGACCCCTATTCGAAATGTCTGTTGGGACCTTGAAAGACTATGCACATATGGCTTCTACAACAGTAATCTATATAAGGCCAGTTCGGGGGTTTTGTGCAAGTAGGGAGATAAGCCCACCTAAATGTAATCACCCAGCCCGATACCTTGGGTACTGCCCCCCCCTCAGTAACAGTTGGATAATATTTATATTGTGGTTATATGTGGCCCTTAATAGGCCACTAATATAAACTGTTCCTGGGGGGGGGGGCAGTACCCAACCCCTAAACCCCGAATCCGTCCTCACTTCCTTGTCCTAAACTTACCCCAGACCCTTGCCAATAGGGAATGAGGAAATGAGTTCCTAGTGGGAGAGGTTTAGGGTTTAGGAAAAAACCACAATGGTCATTCTAAACCCTAAACCCTTAACTCGAATCCCTCCTTTTCGAACGGAATTATGTCCACCCAGCTCCCGAAAGTGCGCCGTAAGCCTTTGGGTTTAAGGTTTTTGGACCTAAACCCCGTAAACCCTAGGGTATATGGTTTAGGGTAAACCCCCTAAACCCTAAAACCTTAACCCTAAACCCTAGACCCCTAACCCTAGACTAGCAGGAGCGACCTAGAGAGCATCCGCAGTCGAACATCCTGGAAGGGACCTACTTAGGGTCTTAGGGTTTAGGGTTTAGGGTTTAGGATTCATTGTAGGATTTGTCGGTTCAGGGTTTGCCTAGAATCCTAGAGTAATATGTAGAGCCTCAAACAAGGTAAAGATACAGCAAATTTCAGGAAAATGCTTGTCGAGGAGTACATTGGTTGCTTCAGGTAGGCTTTAGGTGTATAGGTTTGTGAGCTACCCAGACCCCAAAAGTATGTAAAATAATGGCCCTTATGGCGACCCCAAAAGTATGTAAAATAATGGCCCTTATGGCTGTTATTATGGGCTTAGGGCCATTATTTTACATACTTTTGGGGTTTAGGTACTTCCAGATCCAAGGCCCAAGGCAACGGGTGCGCTGGGACGTGCAACACATGGAGGTTAGCAGGGACGTTTTCCTTTTAGGGACCGCAAAGAGGACCAACATTTTTGACGACATACCTCAAGGTCTTACCCTGAGGGTCCAAGCACCCAATTGCCCCAAACCTGTACTAAATTGACTATCACCTAAATCTCAAGTATCAAATTATTGGGTACTTGTGACAAAACATGTCTATGCGGAAGCCACAGTTTAGACCTGAGACACAGACTCAAGGAGCATTGTAAGAGGCACCTCGAAACTAGGGCAGGCTTGGGAGCCCAGTAAAACTGCATGCTTTATGGCTTTATAAGGATTACGAAGGAATTCTGGGTAACATTGGTTTAACAAAATATGTTCTTGCCGAGTTATCAATGCTGTCATAAGCTGGGAGGTACACCCTGTCACAGTCTATATTACGGTTTTTATTAAGAGCTACATGGCATCATGTTATGAACATGATACGAGTTGTTACAGAATGGGGCAATACCCCGAAACCCTAAACTCTAAAACCTAAACCCTCCCAAGCTCTGAGGTACACCCTGATGTTTCGACACGGTTAGGCATAAGGTCGGTTATGTTTCGGTTAAAGGGACCCTGAGGGTCCATGTACGTAATAATTGGGTACTTGCAGGCTTGCTACTAGTAATTGTAATGCAGGTTTGGAGCAGGTATATGATTTTTGGACCCTTTGGGTAATTTAGAGAAGTTTGGTCACATGTTCCAAAAATGTTTCTTGGAACCCTAAACCCTGAACCGTCTATGCAGCTAGGGGGCCCGGCCCAACCCTATACGCTTTCCGATCTAAACCCTGAAAACCTTGAGCATCTAAACCTTGATCTTCAGAATGGCTTAACCTAAACTCCTGAATGCCTGACGCTAATGCTTAAGCTTCTCATGATCCTCCAGGCGCCATGTGCCACGAGAAGCCAGACGCGCCGCTTTGTGGCGAAGCTAGCGCGTGATGCTTCAAGGCTTGTTTGGGCCTGGAGTTTGAAGTTTCGGGTTGAAGAAACCCTTTAACTAGGGAGATGGCAAAAATACGAGCATTATTGCGTAGGTATTAAGCCCGTTTCCAGGAAGTACATTGCAATTGGTTACTGTAGGGTTTAGAGGTTTAGATTGGGCTGCACGGTGAACGCTCTAAGTTTATGTTTGTGACTCAGGGATCAGGAGTTTGGGGTTTAGGGTTTAAGTCTTAAGTCTTTAGGATGTAGGCGCAGCGTTTACGTCTTTTAGGCTTTGGGGCGTGTTTGTTATTTTTAGGTGTGCTTGTTGTCTGACCCTCCTTCGTTTGAGCAACGGCTCATGGCTGTGACGCACGTGGTCCGCAGGACATGACTTCGTGGGTTTCCCTATACTCTTCACTTAAGATTATACTGCAGGGATCAACGTAGGAAGCACAGTCACAATGGACGGTATTTCCTAGAATTTGTGGGACTCAAAGCGGCGCAAGATTTCATCCCTCAACAGCGTGTTGGATCCCAAACCCTAAACCGTAATGTATCCGTTCATACCGCTATATAACCCCTATAAAAGGGTAGTTGGACAACTTATGAGTGTTCTACTGCAGAAGGAACTGCGAGCGTAGCGTCATGGATGGAAGAATGTCTAGGGCTTAAGGTTTAAGATTTAGGCTTTAGGGTTAAGACTGATGTTTTAGGGTTTACAAGTTTACGATCGAGGTTTTTGGGCTTAGGGGTGAGGAGTTAGGGCTTATGTTTTCGGCGCTTAGGGCTCAAAGTTTAGGGGTTTGGGATCCTTTATGCAGCCCTAAACCTGCAGCACTCAATCCTACACTCTAGACCCTAAACATCCTCAACCCCGATCCCTGAAGCGGCATCTATAAACAATGAGCCGTAACATCCAAGACCCTAAACTTTGCAATCCCTAAGTCCTATGCCCAGCAGCGAAAGCCGTCAAAATCTCCATCTGTATAGCACCCAAGATTGAAGTCTGGAACTCATCTGTCTTGATGTTCATGGGGACGGGGGGGGGGGTTCAAGGGGGGGGGTGAAGCCTTGGCCCACTCATGTCCACTCAACGCCTACCAGGCCTGCCCAAAAGCAATAACAAACAATAACATGTGCACCGCACACTTGGTACAATGAACCAGAGAACTGCACGCAGCGTTCCTCCCGTTCCTCCGAGCTCGCTGTGATTGATAGATGACCTTGATTTCAAGCTCACGCGCGGAGGCCCGAGTTGTTACTCTGCCTAACTTACGTGCTAACGTCAAAGACAATTCTAGGTGGGTCTAGGGATTTAGGGTTTAGGTAGCAGGGAGGACTCTGCAGAACCAACCCTAAAACTCTAAAATCCTAAAACCCCTGAAAGCCTAAAACACACACGCGCACAGCAAGACTCTTTTTAGGACATGCGCACAACAAGTCAATCAAACAGGTCAACCCAGCAGCTGCCTGTTGATCCACCTCCCCCTCCTAACAGTTCTGAGAGGCAGAAGCCCTTCACCAATCGGCAGAGCTGCACGCAGGCCGGACATGACTGACACTGACACAAGAGCAGCTATACGTGTGAGTGTTTGACGCATGCACTTGGTATTGTGGCAGGGCACGCAAGCGTTCAACCCCTAAAACCTTAAACGCAAGACACGGCACTGTAAACAAAGCACCTATGGGCAGAACACGGCATGCCCTGTTGAGCCGACTCATCAGTTCATAGCTTCGGGTTTAGGGTTTCGGGCTTAGGCTTAGGGGTTTAGGGTGTAGCCAAGAAGTCCCTAAACGCTCAATCCCTAAGCAGCCTAAACATCCCTAAACCCTCAACGGCAAACCCTAAAGCCTGCTCTAGTCTCAGAGCCCGACACCGTATATGATTAGCCGACAAACTTTTGACAAACCCTGCGCTGGGCCGCAAATCCTGGAGCCCTGATCAGACTCCACATCCTAAAGCCTGATAAACAAGCCCCGGTTGAGGGCCAAAGCGCTTTAGGATGGAGGGCTTGAGGGTTACACACCTTCTATCCCCAAACGCTTCTTTTAAGGAGTTTAGACTCTATCTCAAATGCAGGCGCAGCGTCGAGAACCCCCGCTTCCCACGCTCCTTGCAGCTGGCCCATGTCGGGAAAGTTCTTATGTTCCAGGGTTTAGGGTTTGGAGTTTAGGGTCTAGGGATTTAGGGTTTAGGGCTTGGGGTTTGGGGTTTTGGTTGTCTTGGACGAGTTCTAGAAGGGAGGACTTTGAAGGTGCAGTTGAGTCTAGTTGGACGTTTACTGGGTTCTTGTTAAGGAATGTAATTTAAGTTACCATAGTAGTTTCTTTCTTTATGGTAGCTTAAATCCAACCCCTCAACAAGAAGCCAGCTTAAGGCTACTAGCTACAGTGGTTTAGGGTTTGCGGCACAGTTTCACGGTTTGGGGCTGTAGAGTTTATGGGTTTGGGGCTTTGGCAAGGGGTTCAGGGCTTGAGGCTTGGGCTTGATGGTTCATCCCCTGCTGGGATTTCCGAAGTTTACATCAGTAATAGGCCGGCGATTCTCGTTGAGGACTTTCGGCTCAAGGGCTTAGGTAGGCTGTTGTGGTTTGGAGCTGCCTGCATGGGAAAGAAGCTTCTCCAGGAGGCAAATGCAGAAACACATCCAAGGCACTGCGGCATCGTCGATAATCAATCCCGGGTCCAGTTCGATGTCGGCCCATGCACACTCCTCGCAGTATTTTCGGCCGCACGACGTGCAGGAGAATTGCTGGACCATGCCCTTCATTTCCTCACCTTGGTAATGTAGGGGCCTGGAAATTGGAATAAGGTTCTGGTAACTATTTAGGCTTCCTTAGTAGCCCTTCGTTTCCTGACCTTAGTCTTGGGCCAGCGTGCTCACGGCAGTTTGATGTGGCTTTCGGGCAGCTTAAGCTTAACATACGGGCCACGAAAATTTAGGAGAGGGTTTCCGCCTATGTGTTGCTATAGTTGCTGTAACTATACCAGGTAAGTTACTGAACTGAAAAAGGGCTGAGGCGAAGTCGGTTTGTCACTCAGGGTTCCTGCAGCCTGCTGCCCTGCTTCCATAAATCAGCTCATCATAGCTCATCTCTACGTACGATTGCGACCCGGCAACATTTGCTACAATGCCATTCGCTCCGCTCACCCTCGTCGATGAGGAAAGGGCGGGAGCGACACGTTTGACATACTGGAGCTTCTTCTTCCATGGCTCCCAAGCCACGGCAAAAGGAGCTACAGTGAGCCGGCGCTGCATCAAAGCTCTGTTGCAACAAGCAGGATTTCAGACCTAGATTTTGCTGATCTGCTTGTTTGGAGCCCTACAATTACAAACAGTGCCAACTTTTGTCCGGGACAATATACCGCACCCTATGGCTCCACATGAATCCTTTGCGTGTCAAATCATGTTTTGGTGACTCTGAGCGCCAGTCGTCACGGCCTTCGGCCGCCTTTGGATCGCCAGCAGCCAGCAAAGCCAAACCAAAGCTGTGGATTATTGTATCATTATATTCATACATTGTTTTACTATTATGGTATTATAGTATTGATTAACACTGTATCATCATATGATAGTACTTTATTATCATTATTATAGTACAATATTATCATGAATATCGTAAGACAAGGCCCCTAACCGGCAGCCCAGGCCTCAAGCCCTAGCGGCCGGCACTCTTCAACT